GCACCATTTAGGGAGATAGTATGCATACTTTATACATCCTGTTTCCTGTAGAATTGCATTAAACACAATCACTTACAGAAACATGACTACAGCTATTGTGTTAACAAAGTAATTGTTCTAAAATACAGTAATTTTCAATTCTTTCTCATTGTAACTTTAATTGGTTAAGTTTTTGAGGAGAAGAGAGACAGATATGTTGTGTCGAATTATCAGAATTTGACTGCATTGGGAATTTGATTATTGTTTATTGATCTGAAACCTACACAATTATGATACAATCGCTTTCTCCTTCATGTATATATGCACTCACACATTTATCATTTCTTCCTTAAAACTACCTAGAATCAAAAATTGAATAAGCAATATGTCTTTCCAACTCCACATAACAATAGCACGTGTTATATATAATTTGATAATAGTTAGATGACCTGTCAGGAAATGTATAGGAAAAATAATTCTATAAAAATAAAAAATAACGATTGGCAGTGATTGAACTGAGTGGGGAAAATGCTGCAAAGGGTAATATACATTATTCAAATTGCTTATTGGCAATACCACACAACTTAATGCAATATTTCTTAATAATCTTCCCACAGTCAACAGAGTCAAACTTTGGAAACACTTAGCCTTAATAATAGATATGTGTGTTTTAAGGTTTTTTAAAAAAATATGCATGCCACATGAGTTATCAATATGAAAAAGACTATAGGCATTTCCATTGTGGTATTTCCTTGTACTTTGATGAATAAAATAAAATTAAGAGTCTGCTAGCTGTTATTCCTATTACTGTATTATTTGCTATATTCTTGGTGTTGAGAACTAAACCTTGTACTTCATTTCTATAATAATTTTTTCCATGGAATGTTGACAGTGTAAAAAGAATACATTTTCCTGACATTATATGTCATAATACTTCTATTTTGTCCTTTATAGGTTTTAGGGATCATGTTCTGAAGTAATTTTTAAATGAAAAATGGCATTTTTTTATTGATATTTGATAACCATAAAACTTTTTTATTTCTTAACTTTTGCCATTCTTGAGATAAATTGAGTCACAAGCGCCATGAGCATCTCTTTTTAAAATGGCTGCATTGATAAATAGGGAGAAATTAATAAATTACTAATTGTAATACTTGGAGATATACGAGTGAGTTTATGATGTTCTTCAGTCTTTTATAAACATTATCCTATCACAAGATTAATTAAGAGATAACAAGGTGTAGAGCTGGATGAACACAGCAGGAGAAGCAGCATCAGAAGAGCAGGAAAACTGACGTTTCGGGCCTAGACCAGCTGCTTGGCCTGCTGTGTTCGTCCAGCTCTAAACCTTGTTATCTCAGATTCTCCAGCATCTGCAGTTCCTACTATCTCTGAAACAAGATTAATTAATCTGCTTTATGGCATATTCATGTCAATACTTAATGCTTTAATATTAAGCATTTTTTTAAATAGTGCAATTTAATTTTTAGTATACTTTATGCAATCCATATGGATCATGAAGTATAACAGTCATAAAATATATGATTTCCTGTTTGCCGTGTCTTTTGTTCTCACAAGAGAGGAAAAGGTTAGTTTACATTTGTGAAGATATTATGTCCAGTGTAGTTTATTTGAGATATTACGATGAATCCAGTGTAAAACTATTTGAATATCTCTTTGCTATTATGTAAATTCATTACATTTTACATATTTAGACTATGCATTATGAATCTTATTCAGAATAGCCATAGTAATGAAATAATGTCTGACCTGCTGTATTAATCCTGGTGATTTAGCTCTCATATGTGTGCAATAGTTTATTTTGTGCTATTTGTGACATTAATAAATACTGATGTCATGTGTAGATACCACACTATTATTGATCAAATTGACCACATTAAGCTTTAATACATTTTTTTAGTTCATTCAAATATAAAGTAGATATCTGTGTGCAACAATTAAACATTCATGGAATAAATATTATGTGCAGTGATTACAACTTGTACAAGATTACACAGTCAACATTTTAGGTGACACAGCAATCAATATATAATTACTATTATTTTTTAAAAATATTATTTATTCTGAAATAATTTGCCATTTTGATTTCTGTTTATGAATCTACCTTCACAGTCCATCAATTATTCTCTTTCTGTGTGGTGACAAATGAAATTTCATGTAATTTTTCTAGTTAGTTTCAATCCCTGGTTTTTACTTCTGTCAAATTGTTAGCCTACTTTAGCTCACTCTGCGATAAGTTTTTTTTTGCCAAACATATTTTCTATTGGTTCTGGGTCTGTTGACTTATACAATTTTCCATTTGACTTTTGGTTTAGCTAAAAATATTGTTTTGTACTGTGAAAATGTCTCTGAACCTAAATATTATTTGCTTACAAACGTCAATCTCCTCCCTCCCCCATATTGCACTAAAATATTAGTAAAATCAAACAATAAGGAATGATGGGGCTGTGTTTACCTGGCACCTGTCATAACCTCATGTTACCTCATTGTTTCACAGCTGACAAAGTCACTGTAGGACTGTATAGATATACAGCAGCTGACTTACTTATTTAGAAAAGATCCACAAACAGCAATACATTAAATTACAGTTTAACATTTTTAATAATATTCACAAGACATCATGGAAAATCACCAGTTTCTTCAAATTGGAACCTAGATTTTTAAATCCACCTGAGATGGCATGCCAGGTTAACATCCAATGTAAAAGGTGGCACCATGCTAATATCTAAATTAATTTCCAAATTTAATATTTTCTGTCATCTTAATTTTGTCGCCAGCATTAAAACATTTTCACATTTTAACATTTAGAAAGTCTGAAAACTGCATTTTATTTGGACACCAGTGTTCCTCATTATAGAGTCTGAATATTTTAGGCTTAATTCATATATTCAATTGTAGGTTCTCAACATCATAATGAAAATGTGCATTTTACATTTTTTATTTGTGCAAAACGAATAAAATTACATAAAACGTGTTAAACGCACATAAAGTCACTCCTTTATGATGTCACCACGAATAAATTAAACATTTATTAACCAATTATAACATATTCAACAGATATTTCTCATGAAAAGAGAATTAGTTTTAGTTTCATATTTCGTGAACGGTGATTTCTCTCAAATGGAACTTTGCATTCAAATGATCCCAGAACAATCAGTAACGTGCCAGAACCACACTGTAATCCCATGTAATAAATATTATCTATGTTTCTAAGAGTTAATGTTATGGAATTGAGTCACTAAATTTTGCGTAATGGAAACAGAATTTGAAATAGTTGCGTTTAGTAGTTTTTAAAGGCAAAATTAAATATTTTTCAGTAATATGATTCATAACACTAGAATTAACGTCGGTGGTCATGGTTATGATACGGCTCAATTGTAGAGCTTTTCTTAAAAGAAATCATACGAAGCCAAGGAAAAACACAGAGAATCCAAGCTAGGCTTTTAAATATCCAATACAATGCCAACCCCTCGTCAGTTTTTCTTAATTCCATACTGAGTAATGTTCCAAATAATGGCAGCAATATTGGGCATGTCGAATGTATTGCATTCAAAACTTTGACAAACTACTCCGTCCTCGTTGAAAGATCTTTACCAATGTCATTGTTTGCTTTAATTACAGCTACCTACGTCAATCACGCAGATCTTTGCACAGAACGTGGCTGCCCCATTTTGTCATTCTAAAGTGGGGACCACTTCAGATAAGATAAAATGTACACAGGCAACATTTTGAATTTGTTTCTTTATTCTGCCTTTTAAGCTGTCTACTTTCTCTGTATACCAATGTCACACATGTGGCTCCAAACTGTGGGAGCATAAATTGTTTATACGTGTGAATGTTATGAGTATATTCAGCTTCACAGCTAGAGCTACTTTCCATCTAACTCCTCTGACCCTCTGGAAAACTAGAACAGGATCCAAGTCCGAAGTATACCACTACGCAATTCTGTTTCGATGTATCACTATCCTTGTAGGGGAAGCCAAACAAATTTTCTCGTTGGAAAAGTAACTTTTTTGTATGCCTTTTGTATAATTTCTTTAATTGAGCCGCAATTCGATGTGTCATCCACACAAATCCTCATTCAATCCAAATGTGAATTATTTCTTTTACTTTTCTTTTAACTTTTTCATGGAGCCACATGTGTGATATTGGTATACAGAGAAAGTAGAAGCTTGAAAGGCAGAATAAAGAAACAAATTCAAAATGTTGCCTGTGTACATTTTATCTTATCTGAAGTGGTCCCCACTTTAGAATGACAAAATGGGGCAGCCACGTCCTGAATTATTTCTTTTAACTTTTCTTTTACTGCAGAAGTAATTTACAATCAGAATAAGGACAGTCATTATTTTATTATTTTAATTCTAGGAATGTTTGTATTACGTTATTTATAATGCATTGATTGTGTGCACATTGTGCATTAATCGGGCATACAACAAATGAAAAAATGAAATGTTTCAAGAATTATGAAATATTTTGGGGTCACTTTTACAGCACGGTCTTTGATATCGAGTTGTAATGAGTGCCGAGCTGTTGCTTTATTGAATTTAGAAAGAAATCTCGTTTCCGTCACTTTACAATTGAGCTTATTTAACGGGCACGGTTCAGGTGAATTTGGTAATTTAGCCGACTCTGGGAGCTTTCCCCACATTAGCTCAGTCGATTTTGATGTTTTGTGGGTGGTGACTCATGAGCGAAAACTAGGAGGAATCTGCTGGCTGGGGGGAGGAGTTCTATATCAGCTCCACCACCTTATCCAGGCGGCTCATTCCTGCCCTCTGCACTGTGAACAAATCCAACTTCTGCCTCCTGAACGCAATCTACACAGCCTGCATATGTGCGGCTGAAGCACATAGTCTGCCTTTTAAAAAAAGGCATCATGTTTCACTGATCGAGACATATACATGTGTATTTGACCTGAACATACGGTTGCTGTCGTATGGATTTAAATAAAAACGGAATGATCAATGAAATAGTAAAAGAACGGTGAACTGTTTTTAAAGGTGCCATGAATGTGGAGCAACTAGCTGAAAGCGGAAGACCCCAGGTTCCTTGCGACATGGCTGCTTCGAGTTTCCCTTTGCTGAGGTCGGCTGAAAGCAGGGAGCGGTTAGAAAACACGGCTAGCGACTCCTCGGAGACGGAAGCAGCAGGTAATGGTTGCACCGAGTTCCTGAGGTTTGGTACAGTGCTCCAACAGGGAGAAAGTGAACTTGTGACCCTCTGTAATACTAAATCTCTGGAATACAGCCAGCCACTGAGTTTTTTTTTTGTTCCTTTTTTTGTCTTTACGTCGAAGTGAAAGGAATAAAACTAGCAAATTTAAACTTAGAAGTGAAAGCCAGACTTCCGTGAAACTATTCAACTGATCTTCGTTCTGCTCATTGCACTCAAATGCGAGAAAAGCTCACAATTACGCGCTAAAAGCTGTATCGTAGAAACATATTGTATTCTGTTAATATTAGACGTTAATGTCTGGTGCAGTTTGTTGACAAGAGTAACAGAATGAAACAGGTTTCCGTGTTGCCCTGTTGGTTTGCCAGAGAAAGTTGAGTGCTACAGTAAAAGGCGGCCACGTTTTCCGCTCTGAACTGTCAGGGGGACAAATTAACCGTAACCAAGCACCAAACGGACAGGCTTAACGGAGTGTTTTCTTCCTGGAAGCAATCCGCGTGCAATGAAACAATTGCAGGTGAAATAGTGAGCATTAAACAATCCAATCTTGATAATAACACTGGCATTTCCACATGTCTGCAAAGAATGACCTTTTACTGATGGCTCGCTGCTTGTATTTTGATGCCATTCGATCACTGTCTCCTTTAACACATTCTATCACATTTGAAACAAATCAGGTTCTGATCGAGTTGTGGTGATTGCAAATGTTGCATATCTGTGTTTGTGTTTTGCAGATAAAGAAAAATCGATGCAGGACAAATCAGAAGATTGCAGTACAGATGATCCATCCAAAAAGAAAAGGCAAAGGCGACAGAGGACTCATTTTACCAGCCAGCAACTTCAGGAGCTGGAAGCCACGTTCCAAAGGAACCGGTACCCAGACATGTCAATGAGAGAAGAGATCGCTGTTTGGACGAACCTCACTGAGGCCAGGGTTAGAGTGAGTATTCTTAATCTCTTCGCTTTCCTTTGTTTAAAGAAAACATTGACAGAACGCTATGATATTATGATGAGCATGCGCAACTAAAGAATTAAACTTCACGATAACCATGCGTTGTCCAGGCTGTAATTAAAATGTTAAGTCATTGATATACGGTTTGATATGTCGACCAAATATCGCATTGTCTCTTGAGAATGGCACATCATAACATTCGGTGAAATAACGCTAATAAGATTAAAAGTGCTAGGCCAGTAGTTATTTTAGAAGTACGGACATTCACCTTGCCATGGTCCCAGATAAAATAGAGAAATCTGAGCAAATTGCTTCATGTATAATGAAGGAAGGGTTTAAAGTGTTTCCTGTCTCTGGACCTGGATTCGAATTCCAGTAAGATCCCGAGGATTGATGAAGAATATTTAATCAGAGTAAGCTCTCTGAGATCTCAAAGCGCGTGTTATCGAAAACTCGGGCGGTGAAGTTCAATAGGCACTGATACTTCATCAGAAACCGCATGAAATGATCACATAATGGATTTTTTCTTTAAATAAACTGGTATGTTTGCCCCTGAGAACACTGTTGACTGGTAACCAGACAAGTTTTAATGTATTCGAGACATTTGCCGTGTCAGCTCTATAGATAGATAAAAGAAAGTACTGCTTTAGATATATAAATATATATTCCTAAAAACCAAAAATATTGCTCACGGCAGTTCCAGTCATTACCAGAGAAACAAACTGTGTTAGAACGCAGGTAATGAGCACCTATATATTTCGCAGTGTGTTTTCCCGCGAAATACTGACAATAACCCCATTGTCTAGTCTTTTCCAAGCAGTAAAGTTAGACAATTTTTTTGTTCTAATTTGAGGTAACCCTGCTATTACGAAATCTTACAACAAGCCCTCAACTGCCAATTATCCCCTTAAATTGAATGTCATTTCTTTTAGTAATAATAACAGAACACCAAAGTAGATTAAAAAGAGTTCTGTAGCCATTCGTGTAATTTCTACATTAATGCACTTTACAACGACATTCATGGAAAACACTATCGTTCAATGGCTCAAGAGCCTCTGTTGGTCGTGTAGTTTTGCTCTTATCTCATTTAGATAAGGAAATGTGATTGTAACTGAAGTAAATAGACTGTTTCGCCAGTTGGGACTCTAAGGTTATTTTGTCCCGTCAGGCGATTGTCAGTAAAAAGAAATCATTGTGTTTTACATATAATTTTATTTTGGGGAAAATTAATTTTGTTCACGAAACAAACGTAACTTTCTCAGTCGTGCATCGTTTTTAGCAATATTAGCTAATGGAAAAATAATATCTATGAACCTACAGTGCCCTCCTTTCAGAGGAGTAAAACAAAATCAACCGACCAGGCAGAAGATTTCAGATGAGATAATGGACTTTTTTTTTCAGAATGCTTATTAAATCGTTTTTAGTGAAATCCAGAATCAATCATTTAGTTACTTATCAGAATAAACTCGATCTATGATCAGATCAGATCACAGGCAGCAATGTACATGCCTTTCTAAAGAGATCTTTCTAAACAAGAAATGAGAATGAAAACCAAACGTATGGTAGACTTTTATTTTAAAATGTTAAAAGTACATTGAATGGAATGTCGAATTGCACAGAAATAAACGACAATCAGTTCGCATCTATTAATATCACGAAAGGTTTCAAATTGACAGATTTAACCCGATCAAAACTACAATTTGATAGTCACAGTCTGTACAATTTCTTAATCTGGAGCGTCCACACTAATACCACGCGACCATAACATGATCATATAAAGAGATGCTGTGAATGCGTTTAAAATCTCTGCTCAAACAATTTGAAACTGAATTTCCAAAGTCTTTGTGATTACTTTCTGCAATTTCGGCAATTCTAGGTAACAGAACTAGTTTGCAGTTGTTCGCTGCTTTGTACGGGAGACATCCTCGCGCAGTATAAATGGATGCCGCATAGTGGTTTTGGTTTTAATTCTCTCTGGCCGTTACCTTCTTCCATAGGTTTGGTTTAAGAATCGCCGAGCAAAATGGAGAAAGAGGGAACGCAACCAGCAGGTGGATCTGTGTAAAAATGGATTTATGCCGCAGTTTAACGGCCTGATGCAGCCTTACGATGACATGTACGCCGGCTACAGCTACAACAACTGGGCGGCCAAAAGCCTGGCCCCAGGCCCACTGTCATCCAAAAGCTTTCCATTTCTCAGCTCCATGAACCCACTGTCTTCTCAATCCATGTTCTCTGCTCCAAGCACCATCTCCTCCATGACAATGCAGTCCACTATGGTGCATTCGGCTGTGCCAGGAATGCCAGGGTCGAGCCTCAGTAACATTAATAATCTCAACAGCTCCTCTCTCAATTCAGCCATGTCTTCGGCTGCCTGTCCATATGCATCGCCGGCTCCTCCTTACGTTTACCGGGACAGTTGTAACCCTGGACTTGCTGGTCTCAGACTGAAACCTAAACAGCATAGCGGTTTTGGATACAGCAGTTTGCAGAATCCAGGGTCCAGTCTTAATGCATGTCAATATGCAGTGGACAGACCCGTGTAATATGCAAAATAACTGGACGTTTCATTCAATCTCACAGAAAGGAAGTAAAACTCCACTAAACAGGATTTCATTGCAACATGTTAATGGCGTATGCGGGTTGCCACTCTCCTGGATATCAACCACAATTCTGTCCAATTTAAAAAAAACATATTTAATTGCAAGAACTTGAGTGCGATTTTTTTAAAAAAAATATTCAGTTGGGTGCTGTAGTTCGGTATCCTTGACAGATTTTCTAAGCTTAAGTTTACTCATTACTGAACAATCGAAAGTGGATTTGTGTATATATAGAAATCAATTATATTATTGTTAAACATTGCAATACATTGAAAATATAAAGTTTTAAAAAGATTTAAACAAACAAAAAGGATGCATGTCTATTGCTGTACCCCAGATGAAGGAATGTTCGAAATTACTTCCATTTTTAACTCCGCAGCAAGAAAAAAAAGCTACCTCTACACTGCGATTATTTCGCCCAAAAATGAAAATAACTCGATTTCTTTTTTTTAAAAAAAGCATGCTACAAATCGATTGTTTTTAACCTAGAATGGCTTTTGAATGGATTGACATTTTTTTTTAAAAAAGCAACGGAGAGTATAAATAGTATCTATATGTGTTTTCAAGGCTGAATTATCTTTACTGTTTTTTTCACTTAGGGTCACTGTCCAAAATGACGGTCGATTTCTTTTTCTGGTGGCATCTCGGAAGCAGGGTTGTACAGTGTAGATTGCTGTAATAAAATTTGAAAACATTTAAAAGAAAATTACTTGGGTTAATTGATTTCTCTCCCTACCCACCAACCTCATCGCTCAGAACAAGTAAAATGCTATATTAGCAAGTTCTAGCTCAAAGAGTTGCCTGCAGTCTATAGTCATAGTCATTCAAATCTTCTTGATTCGGGTTTTTTTTTGGGGGGGGTGTGCATGTCAGTAAGCTATTAAGCTATTTCTATTCTAACCGTGGTGATCGATGGGCGCAGATTGCACTTTGTACATGTATTCTATTTATAAATTTCACGGCCCTAGTTGTAATCTTGTATCACATTTTGTAAGGAGGGAGCTTTCAAATATTTCGACGCCCGCAAGCCTTTGGAAAACGATACGAATTTGCAAATGTGTGAATATAAAGCCGTGACCGACTAAGAGCGAGTCCAATCACAAACAAATGTGATGCTTTTAGAAATCTAGTGGCCATACCTCTCGCCATCATCAAATGTCCCAGGAAAGCTTAAAAAAAATGAAAACAGATGAAAAGGAAAAATTCCAGCAGGGAGTTATTTTTCGGTTCAGGAGATGAGTTAACTTACTAGGCCCAGCAGAAATTGGAATCCTGGTGAGTCTAAGATAGGAAAATCATGTACTCGGATGCAATGAAGATTCGGCATGCTGAAGGTGACATTGAAATATTATTTAAACCCCATATTCTAGTATCAGAAATGCAGGTTATTCGTGTGGACATTGTAAATAATAATGGGACGCTGCATGCAATTTAGTCTTAACGGATTTTTCTTTCAAAGGATATGGTTCGAGTGTCGTGTTGATGCAGAGAAATGATTTGTTTTGCCCCATTCATCGATGTCAAATTTTAACTCGTGCAAAGTTTAACGTCCAAACAGTTCAATTGAAGTAATTTATTAGAAAATGCCCCATACCCAAACCTATATCCATTCTGTTGGGTTTCTTCATTAGTCTTGAGGCCAAAAAAATAATGCATTAGAATTTTTCCTGAAAATCGTTTCTAAATTAACCTGACCATTTAATTAGCTGGTCGGCTGGAGGTTTTTTTTTGCAGAATATATCACTCTAATTCAATCGAGAAATATTAACCTGAGTATTCCTCTTAAGTCTATTTAAAATCTTGATTTTGCAAAACCGATCGGAATTATTAGATACGAAATTACAGAGCACAAATTAAGCACCAAATTGTAAAAGTAAATATATGATAAATATAGACAGAGAGGTTGGAGTAAAGCAATACTGTTTAAATATGGTGTTTGACGCTGAGAAGAACATGTATTAGACTGTGTGTTGTCTGATGCAGGGGGGTTACCCAGGGAGGTCTGCAAATAGCCTCTGTTAAGCTTCCTAATCACATACCAACTGCAATTGGAAGGCTCGCCCCGTTATTTGCTGCGGCACTTTCTGAGCTTCTGTGAACCCATTAACAATGGCTTACAGGTAAAGCAACATCGGGATTATTACCAGTAGGTTCAAGCCTTAAACTGACCAAAGCTAAAAGAAAAAGGGTGGTGGAAGGGGGAGAGGAGAGGCGTGGCATAAATCCCGAGCGCCCCGCGGCCAGGCACCTGATTTTTTTAAGAGATTGAATTTCAGTTTTAGGATTAAAAGGAAAACGTTTAAGAAATGAAGTCTATGGGCGGGGATGGGGTGGTGGGATGAAGGGGTGGGGGATGTATTGGTGGTGGGAGACTCCAAAGCAGCTGTGAAGGATTACTGACAGTCGGCGCCAGATCGAATTGTTCTGTTAAAAGGCCTTTGGAGAAGGCAAACCGAAGGAGATTTACCTCAGCCTGCACGTCGGGGTGAGTGCTTATACGTAACATAACCTTATGTTGTATCGGTTCCCTTTCCCCAAACCCCACCCGAAATAATATGGCAATTTATAACGTTGAGAATGTGGGGGTAAACGTCACTTGTTTTTAATTTGGTAACTTTTTCCATTTTGTTTCGTGTTCTACTCCTTCGTATGTAAGTTTTACAGAAGGTGTTCATCCATTCTCCAGCCGTTACAGTTGTTTGCACATCGCTGCGTTTTGCAAAGTGACGGGGGTCTGCGTTTACACTTTCCAGTCGCTATCCTGGATTTCTTAGCCGAATTTGACTTCCTTGTAAAGTCAGACTGGCGCAGAGACGCATTAAATCTCCCTTACAGAGGAGATACAGTGGGAAATGTTTGGAAGTGTTAAATAGGTTGCAGCGCGCCCATTTATTGAGCCCTTTACGGTATCTTTTCAGTCAGTCGGGGTTGAAAATTTTTCAATGGAAAAGGGGGTTTTGAAAATTCAATACGCAACCGGTGTTTCTGGCACTTTAGTGTAATTCTTCCAACCATTCACAACGACAGGTTGACCCAAGGACAGTGCAGCTAATCTTTCAATATGCGCTGGGATCATCTTTGTGTTGACAAGATCGAGTGGTTTCTCCAAGTGTCTATAAATTATAAATTCACAATAACATCGCAGTTTGATTTCTTCCAGTTGCGGGCGCGATCATAAAAAGGTCGGCGATGATATCTCCTGAGTTATTTTCTTTACTCCATTCGTTTGGAACTGTCGAATTAGTTTTACTGCTCTTTGTCAGTAACCTCTGTGAACTGAACACGCAGGTGAAATGTTTCTGTTGAAGCAACTGTCTCGAATGCCAATGAATTGTTTTCATTGAGTTCGTAATTATGAGTAGATTCCATCCATTATATAATATTTGCGAAATGTTTGCCCTGTTTTATTTTCAGAGTTCTGATGAAATGAAATGCTAGGTGCTGGTTAAAAAAAAAGCAGAAATACATTATTATTTCATGTCGAGATCTATGCAACTTGTAGTTCTTGCTGTTTTACAATATATTACCACGGAAATTAAAATGTTAACACTATGTTCCTCCTTGATGTTAATCTCAGAGGATAAGGGAGATTATTTTAAAAAACAGTTGCATGTTAGAAGATACGAACAGAAGTTTGGCCAATGTATATTTCTCTTTCTTTTGTGTTTATAAACAAAGATAACACTTCGCCCCTGCATTGGGCTGTGTTAGATATGAGGACTTTAGTGAACCAATTACTGCCAAACTGTGAGTGGGAAAGTCACTGGCAATAATTACAGACAGTTACAGTGGAGAGATGTGTCTTCCGTTGGGTTCCAGTTTGAATTATCGGCCTGGGGCAGGATGGACCCGTCAAATGGCGATGTTTTATTAGTAAGAGGGCGCACTTTCTGCAGTGCCCTGGGAGCTCCCAGAACTGTGACCAGAAGCACAAAAAAATCCTGTGTAAGTTCGAGGGGGAGGGTAAGTTAAAGAGTACAAGTGAGTTTAAAACGATCCAAATCAAAGTGGCCTCTCGGGAATATCTGCTTGTTTTCAAATTAAGGATATTTATTTCCTTCTCTTTTGCAATCCTTTAAATATGGTCAATTTCTGGCTCAGCGTTGCTTAATATTCTAAATAAAATGTTGGAAGTAGTCTGTATAATCAGTTAGAGTGAAACAAATTATTTATACAAGCGGAGACCGGCTCTGGAACATGTCTTAGACATTTCCAGATTTTAATCATTTCTACCATTTGTCCTCAAATTCGATAACTCGCCGAAACGAATTTTTAATTGGCCCTTGCTTAGAGATGTGAATCAAATCGAACAATATTTGGTGATTGAATATTGAATCGGGTTTATAATAAAGGCAGGGAGAGCGGACAGGATCTCCCGGCTATACTATGTTGGAATGTTAATGATGGAAACTCAGATATCCATCCTAGAGAAGTCTGAAGAGAAGAGATTTTTACAATAAATTCACATAAACGTTGCCACCATTAACTTGTCTGAAAAGGATATTCTGATTTGTTATTCGGTGCACTTGACTCCTGTTGCACCTTGGTAATTTTATCAAGATTGGCATCGGTATACGCGCATTTTTAAATATCGTATGCCTTTCTACACATAAAAGATTTGATTTGTTTTCGTGTGTCCTCGCGTATTTTGTTTTATTTATAGTTTCTTCGATTTGCTGTGTCCGGAAATGCTTGTTAAAAAGTGCATCTTGACCCCGCCAGCAGCAGAAGCTTTGGTTAATGTTACCGATTTGACTGCCAAAGTGCACTCGCTTGTTAACTAAAAAAAATCTTAATCCGATTACTACACCGCAAAATGCCCAAAATAGAATTCTAAATGGGGTGGGGAGAACCACGCCTTGGTATTTCTTAATGTTGCGCGTGTATACGGCACGCTCGGTCGACATGAGTTACAGCCGCTGTGATGTTTACACCTGCAGGAGTTGTTGGTATTTATTTTTTAAATCGCTGCCAGACCTTCAAGAACACTTGATATCTTCTGGTCCCCGAAATTAATCCACATCAACCTGCTACAACAATTGAACCCAGAATTGTCTTTTATTCCAAACACATTTAATTAAATATATTTTGTTTGCTTTTGCTTTATTAAACGGAGTCACGTTGAATAATTTCCATCAAAAGGAGGTTGCCTCTGAGCTAACAAATCTGTTACGGATTTAATCCACACGGCTTGTTCTCTATCATTGCAACATCAACTGACAAAAGTCAATTGAATCTCGCGTTTACCAATAAATCGAATATCGTTGTCTGCCTTCGATATGTCTTCAATTTGAAATGGTCAATATTTCAAATATTGTTTAGTTACGATCGCAAGCCACCAATTTACGAATCCCAGTAGGAATTCTGCTAATGATATTAATTACAGCCAAACAGCGACAAGTAAAGGATTTCGTACACAGACTCTGTAACGTACGGCCGTGATTACAGTATCGAATGATTTCGCTTCCTTCAAAGGACCCTGGCACAACAATATTGAAATTGTGCATTTAATGCAGCAACACGACTCGCATACTTCACTGGAACACCATAATCAGGCAAATAACCAGCAATAAGTCCAACCGAAAGGCCAGACTAGACAAACAGAGGCCACAATTTGTTTTATTCAGACGAATGCCTCCGTTGAAATCAGATCGTGAACTCTCTT